CCTTTTGCTGAGATGTGACTGCCTAGGTACTTGTGAGGTTGTCTTCTTTAGCTCTTCATCATCGAAGCTTATGGTATCTGGAGTTTGTTTCCCCACTTCCATGTATTCGTCTTCCTTGTAGCTTCAAGCCATACGACTCTAGCCTGTTTTATAAGTTTCTTACCTCGTCTTGAAACTCCTTTCTAGTACCTACTATTCACATCATCTGCATAGAAAATGTTCAAGGAGGCACGCCTAAGCGGTTCCATCACGGCCATCACAGTGCCGAAGAGCAGGAAAAAACACTAAACCTTGGTGTACTCCAACTTTGATTCAGGAAATCTTTCGGTTTCGTTGCAGCTGTTTGCACGCAGCTTGAAATGCTGTGACTGACCAACTTTAACATTGAACGTACTCCTCTGGCACCATGTGTTTTCATAAAGCCCTCCATATTACTGGTGAAGCACCTTTCCGAAGGCTTCCTGCAGGTCCAGGATGGCTGCATGCAAGCAGGGCGAAGTGAAGCGTCGGTCGTACCTACTTCTTACTTGTCACGAATCAGCACAGATTCGGTGACAACTCCATGATATCTCGAAGCCGCGTTTCAAATATCACCTCGAAGAGTTTTAGGGTGTGCCCCTCTTTAGTTGGTTGGTCAGTAGGATGCGCAGTCTGCTATGTCTCCCCCGTTCTTCAATATCGTGCCAGCCGCGGCGTACACTCTCGCTTCCTGTGGTTTGATTGAGACGACTCGTTAGCTAAGTGGCTCCAGGTTGTCCAGAGATTTTCCAGAACTTACTTCGTGTGTCGTCTGGACCATTCGCTTTGCCATTCTTTGTTCTTCTTACAGCTAGCCCTACTTCCTCTTCCGTGACTGCTGGTGGTATTTGATCTTCAATCTCCCCATTTGATGCGTTCTGTTCTCTATAGTTCTCCTGATGTCCCTGTCCATTGAGATTCTAATGTCGAAAAGTACTGGCCTTATGAGGTACGCAACTTGGCGCCCTAGCCTTTACCCGAGATTCTTTATGAGACTTGTCTGCACTTTGATGTGAGGAACGTTTCTCAGCATGCTTTTCGGATTCCCTTCTTTGGAAAGGCAGCTTGACACTAGGACTGTA